TTGAGCGAACTTTTGTAATGTAGGCCAGACTCCTCAATCAACAATTGATAGGTTGAGATAATCTACATTCACTCGCACGTACGAGGGGATGCAGAATTCTTGCCAAGCAGAATTCAGAATTTAAAAATCCGATCGGTACATAATGGATTAATTCACTAAGATAAATGCCCAATAGCAAATAAACTACTAAGCACCACACTAACGTATCAGAATTTCAACAGAATTCTGTTACAAGAACAGAATACAAACTTTGAAAAGGTGTACTAGGTCCGTATGTCTCCAACAAGAAAGAAAAATTCTAATACACAATTTAATGCAAACTTTGAAAAGACATACCAGAGTCATATATCTCGAACAGAAAAAAAATTCTCGTGAAGCATTTAAATATGCCAGCAGAATTGGAAACGGAATTCTGTTACCACTAACAGAATATAAACTTTGAATAGTCAAACTAGAATGATATATCCCCAAGAGAAAAGAAAAATTCTAATGAAGAATTTAAAAATATCAGCAGAATTTAAAACGGAACTCTGTAACGACTAACAGAATACAAACTTTGAATAGGCATGCTAACATTGTATATCTTCAAGAGAAAAGAAGGTTACTTTTGATAACACAGAATTCAAACAGATCAGTCCGGAATACGTTGTCTTTGATGACATAGAATTCTACAGAAATCTAGGCGGAATATAAACAGACCAGAAAAGAATAGCATAGTCAACTCGTTTTAAAAAAATAGATGAGTCCACAGAATTCTGAATTCTGCTTGGTAGGCATTTAGGAGTTGCTGTTTCAAAGCTGTTAGGACTTGTTCAGTTCGCCAAGTTTACACTTTTGTAGTCTCTCAAAAGTCCTATAGTATGACATATACTAGAAAAATGGTTCAATCTATTTTGCAATTGAAAATCTCTCGAAAGACAAGCATTCGACCAAAACCATATTATCATAGAAAGCCATTGTGTGGTTAGTTTGTACTGTTTCGGTAGGCAATGCAGTAGAGTTTGACTAATGAATTATAGATACGATTGAAATCTGACCACAGTACGATCGAACTGATCTTATATTTTTGCTTAATTGCTAATTATTCTTCAACCTATTGCACACGCAATAATAACCTTAATAAGTATTAGAAATAGTCCTGTATGACTGTCTTCTCAATGGTCTCCTATCTAACAACATTACAATTGTAAGAGGAGCACTACAAAGAAGCGTCTTTGGAGGTATAACATACATTGTTGTTCATTACGATTTTCAGGAAATATTTGAAAGGCCGAAAATAATTACCTTTACGTTGATGATTTGTGAATCATAAACATTCTAAATATTTTTTTGTAATTTTCGAAAACAAATAATGAATATTGAAACATGAATGAATAAAAATTTGAAAAAACTACATAATTATGCGAAGCAATGATATCAAGCAATTAATGGCAAAAAGACTCAGTTTGTAGTATTCATAAATATTGTAAAACATGTTAAATTGAATATAAACTATGTAGAGACCCGAATTGAACAAACGAAAGTCTTTAAATATTTAGAGCATTAAATAGATTCTAAAATCTCTTTTAAAGTAATCGTTGATAATCAACTAAAGTAGAAATGTCGACAAACATATTTAATATTAAAAATGATCCATCGATAATTGCCAATCTTTTATAAACTTATGTTTTTATTCTGCAACACATATACCTAGTCGCATCTATATTCAATGTCAATGATCTATTGTTTTCTCTCAAATTCTTTGAGAGAAGAAAAATCAATAGTTTCTATAGATCCTCTCAATGAATGATATATTATCCTATTGAATGTCTTAGTACTGATCTTCGCATAAAATTCTTTTTTCTTTAGGATAAAAGCTTAGTGAAGCGGCTCTGGAACATTGACCAACATGATACCAAGAATTAATAGCTTACAACATAATGAATAAAACTATTGCCAATAAAACACGTCAATATGATATGGAAAATTTGTGTATTCAATCGTTACTGAAAGGAAGATCTCGTGTACATGCTTGATCAAATTCTATCAATATTCTTCAACAAACTTTTGACATTAGCTAGTCATGATCCATCAAATCAATCAATTCGACCATAAAATACTACAATTTCTACTTATTCATCTTTGATGTGATCTTTTCCTTTTTTTTTTGTTTTTTGTATTTCTTCTATTAGAAACTTTTTTCTAATGCTTTAAATTAATGGTTTTTTTTTTATAATGTATGCTAGAAAATGTGTATTGAATATAAGTGTTCGGGACCAATTAGGACAATCCACTCAAATACAATACTTTATAATAATAATAAATACAAGTGACTCTAATTTCAGCTGAATTGAATAGTTATTTAATGAATTTAGCATTCAATCATCAATTTAAGTATGCACTTTCATTCATTCTATATATGTTTAAACTTGATTGGAAACAAAATAGTCAAGCGAATTGATTGAATATCTTATGCATTCCGATCGTTTTATTATATATGGAATAGCTATGCGTAGTATATGATGAAAATTATTCACAAGGCAATTATTTGCGTTATGATTTATTTCTATTTTCTAAGAAGAAAAAAATAGAGATATTTTTTCTTCTCGTTTCTGTTATTGTGAATGATGCAAAGAACCCTTCAAGGCAACTAAATTTTTTACTCATCTTATGTTTAATGGAGTGAAATATTTCTATATCACATCACAAAGAACTTTGTCTTGCCAATGACAATTATTAATCTACAAAATTAACTATAGATTTTTTACTTTATATATAATTAATTTTTCGTGTTTATAGATTACATATTTAGTATGCCTTAAAGATATTTATCATTTCGAGAGATGCACGTTTTAATGATTATAATAGAAAAAAACAGCATCCAATCAATGAAAAAACGATAATGTTTTTAAGCGTTGACGAGTGCTTTCAGTGTTGCTATAACATCTCCACGATGTTGACGTAAGATTTTTTCTGCTTTTGATCTTGGTAATTCAAGTTCTTGAATAATAAGTTCAACATCTTCTTTTCGAATTTTAACATTAGCTAATACTGCTTGTTCAGCTTTACGTTTTGATTCATCACGATGTCGTTTATCATTAATTGCTGTTAATGCCTTTACAAAAAGAAAAAAAAGAAAAATAACTATCATGAAATATTGATATTTTAATAACATACATTTCCTATATTCTCTGAACCAAGATCTTCTTCATCGACACGATCTGTAACTCGATCAAGTTCTTTTTCAACCTTTGCATCTTCTTTTTTTTGAATAGTACTAGTTACTTGTTCTTCTTCTTTTTCATCATCAGAAACATTATCTTCGGCTGCAGCAGCAGTTACTGATAAACTATCAGACATATTTCGATCTATAATCATAAAAAGAATAATTCATTGAATGAATGATCTATATGATTAATATAATTATTATTATAGTTGAGAAAAGAAAAAGGAAAGGAATGTTAATTATGATGATACAAATACACAAGACAAATAAGTAAAACAAAAAAGAAATCAATTAATTTTTTGTATTATTTTTGAAAACTAATGATTGTCATTCCCGTGTTGTTTTATTGAAAAAAGAAAAGAAAAGAAAAGAAAAAAAAAAAAAGAAACATTAATCTTCTAGTGATGACTCTGAATCTCGATCATCGCCAATTCGACTTGATTGTGTTAATAACTGATAAAGTTGTTCATCATTTAAACAACCATCAATGAATTCTTCTCGACTTAATATACCATCAGAATTTTTATCCATCATTGTAAATATATTCAGAGCACGTTCCTCTGCTTCTATTTGCCGTTCTTTTTTATCGATTTCATCACCAATTAATTCATAAATTGCCTTTAAAAAAAAATTAAAATTCATATAACATATTGTTTATTTAGCATCTTATGTAAACTTACACCAATAATACGTCTCATTTCATTTTCATCGATTGAACCATCACCATTACAATCATACATACGAAATGCCATTTCTAACTTTTTATCAGGTGTTCCTTGTGATGTAATATTGATTGCTTGTAAAAATTCTTTAAAATCAATTTTTCCGCTTTTATCTAAATTATTCAATTGAATAGAATAATAATCATTTCTTGTTCTTTTTCTTTCATTTCTAATTTACCAGTGTCAAAAGCTCGAAAGACATGTTCGCAAAAATTTTCTGCACGTCCTTTGGGAAAAAATTGCTTGTAAATTTGAATGAATGAATCGCGTGTCAATTCACCGTTGGGACAATCTCTCTGTAATAAAGAAAAAAGAATTCGAAACAAATAAGATATCTATATATATATATATCTATATATATATATATACACATACCATAAAACCTTTGTACCAAGTTTTAATTTTTTTTTCTGAATATGATGTATGTAATTTTAAAAATTCAAGATCACCTTTCGATAATTCATGCTTCGAGCTCGTACAGCCCATCAACAACAGTTGAAAACATGTGCGCCTTTGATGAATAAAAGACAAAGAAAATAAATAATAATGTTATGGAGATTTGAGATACAGTATTTAATAATGGATTAGTCAGCATAAAAAAAAACCCTCTGATCAAAAAAATAGACAATGACGTATATATCTATACAGAAGAATGGAAATTACAAAGCACGATAGCAATTCTCCGCCTACTTTTTTTTTTTCTCTTTTTAAATAGATAAAGAAATTGACTGTTTCATCAGTCATTATTTTATGCATATACATACATTCATCTTATATTAACACTCTTCAAGATTTGCATAAATATATTTGTTTTCTATCTTTCGGATAGTATTGACAACAGTCAATGACAGTTAATCTTTCTTTTCTGGTTTTTTTTTATATGATTATCACTACTATTCCAAAACCTATGTCACATTACACATCTATAAACTCATAAACATACAAACACTTCGTTCAATTGTCTTTGTTTTATGACGGCTTTTTTTTTTATTGTTGGTCAAACAAACGTAAATGAAAGTCTAACAAAGATTAAATCAAAAGAAGAAAAGAAGGTAGTGAAAGTAAAGTCAATGATTTGATAGTAACAAAAGATCAATATGTAACCATTAAAAGATAAGATGACATAAGTCTGCTACACAATAGAAATCGACAAAAACATTATATACAAAACTTCATTTTTCTTCGTTTCCGTATCATTTTCTCGCTACATTAACGACTTGTCATATTACTAATCTGATTAACTCGTAACAGATTTCGACTTTTTCATGGAAAGAAGAAAAATATTAACAAAACACACTTCACTCGACATACAGCTGTTAGAAATCTATTACTTGCTGTCATTATTTCCTTTATTCTCTACGCTTGGCTGATAATGATAATGTTAATATCAATTCTCACATATAGCCAATGCGTTTTCTCGATATGTACTGTTAAGATTAGTAATTCCTGATATCGGATGTGTAAATAGATAAGTAATAATAATAATAAAATAAAATTCTTACTTAATTCTATAAGAATACAAATGATTTATATAGATTTCACAGTCTAGGATAGACTTGAAAGAAGAGGAAACGAATGCTAGAAGAAAAATGATATCTCTTTTTTCAGGTGGAAATGAAAGATGAAAAAATTGATAGATGAAGAGGAAAAAAAAAGAATATAATCATTGATACGAAAAAGAAACGATTATCTTTCCTATTGACGTCAAGACTCCAATCAATAAATGTATACATTCATATACTATTCATAAGAGACTCATTTCTACACCATGATTAGGGAATTTCAAAGCATTCGCAAGGTTGTCTCATATGTTACATGTTATTTATCATCATGTAAAAGAAAAATAAGAAAGGATGTAAACCAAATATAGAGAAGCAAAGTTCTTTCTTTCTTCTTCTTTGAGCTCTAGATTAAAAATTGGTAAAAAAAAAGCCGACGACTAATGAATATTGTTTCTTTTTTTTTTTTTTGCTTAATGACATCCAGGAAAACCCGTGTTAGTTGCGATAGACAACTAAAAAAAGAAAAAATATAATAAGAAGGTCAATCTCAATGATTGAGTACTTCGATTTCCCAGATGACAAATAGTCAAAAAAAAAAAAGAATAATAAATCAAAATGGTTAATATTTATAAGAAATGTACAACTCATGTTTAAACATTTTACTTTCCACTTCAATTAATATTACTTACTTATATAAAATATTGAAATGCAAACGGTACGTCTTGATAAACGTCACCAAAATAACTCTATATTCCAATAGATGAAACCTAAAATAGAAAAGAAAAACATTTTCACTAGAAATAAAATCGAGTTTTGTTTTTTTTTTCTTCTTATATATTGAATAAAAGTAAAAGATAAATGAATAGTGATCTATTTAATCTTAAAAACTATGTTTTTTCTTGTTTTCATCTTTTTTTCCGAATACACTCATTCGCCCGGTGGTCTATTTAACGGCAATGATGATGCTTCTAGAATATAATATGAATGACGCCAACCAACATAAGACGAAGCACAACACACACGAAGAAAAGGGAAATGACGGGTAGTAGGAGCAATAGTAATACTGACGACAATACCAGAAAGAAGAAGCGACTAACCAACGATGTGCACGGATTGTAACATTTGTTATGAAAGAACCTCTAGAGAAGTTAAAGAAAGAGTAGAGAACAAAATTAAAGAAAATGGATATCTATTAAGAATCGTCAACTGGTTATAATGATAGTAATAGTCATACTTAATATCAAAGGTTTTTTTATGCTTTTTTCTTTTTTCTTTATCTTATTCGAACATTAACGCATCATAATAATCATTATCAAATTTGTGAACAGATTTTTTTTTGTGTTCTTTTTTTTTCTTCTTTCAATAATTCAATTTTTTTCAAAATATAATTCTATAAGAAATAATAGCAAAAAACAAAAAGAAGAAAATGAATGTCAACTCAATATAAATTGTCTAGGCTAATAAATACCCATGCTTTTCAATAATTGAATGAATCAATTTGTATGTATGACAATACCTTCATATTTTTTTCTCTTCTCATTCTTCATCATTATTCTCGTTATAATGTTTCCGGATGTATTGAATGAAACATGCAATATGAACAACAATAATATTTTTTCCGTAGTTTAATGATCGACAGTATTTTAATCAACTGAATTAAATTTATGTGATGATTATACTCATTGTCCATAAAAATAAACATTATTGCGTGTTAATTAAAAACCATCTGAAATAATAAAACAAAAATATTCTTGTTTTTTTTTAATCGACAAAATAGCACAGACATTAAAGACAAAGAACAAAAGAAAAACATTATTTATTATTATTACAATTATATAGCTAGTAATAAAACAATTGGACAATGATCTGAACCATAAACACCCGTTTGATGTATTACATCACATAAGTTTTCTTGTAAACGAGATGACATAATAAAATAATCTAAACGCCAACCAATATTACGACTACGAGCATTACGAAAATACGACCAATAAGTATAAGCATCACGTTCATCAGGATAAAGATGACGAACTTAATTATGTTTAAAAAAAAAAAAGAAAAAGAAGAAAGTTATATTCTCAAGAGTTTTATAAATTTAATATATCAATTTTCCACTTCATTGAGTAAGAATATGCATATGAAATGATATATTAAACGATAAATATTTTAAATAAATTGTCTGAAGTCAAAACAAAATAGTTATTCAGATTTGTATATTAGAATGAAAACATGTTTTATCAATTTAAATATCTTTTAGAAATAGTTGAAAGATTTTTGTTCTTTTTAATAAATTATTAAAATCATTCTTTTTAGTTGAAAATATTTAAAAAAAAAAATCTTAACATACATGAATCAATAAAATCTTCTGCAAGAATTTTTGCAAAATCATCACGTTCTTGTTGTGTAAAACCGGCTGTTTTTGTATTAGATTTTGGATTTGCTAAATCAATACTTTGATGTGAAACATTTAAATCGCCACACCTAAAAATTTACATATAAGATTTATTTATTTAATATTAAAAATACAAAAGAATATATACATAAGTGATTATCATTCGTTAGCAACATGATTTTGTAAAATAAAAATATTTATATCTTTGGATTTGAACGTTTTTTTTTATTGAGTTATAATAGATACCCTGAAAAATTCCGTCTTATAGACCTGAATTCCGCTGAATTACTATTGAAAAATGAGCGTTAGACATAAAAGGACAAATATTTTCATAGTATGCATTTCCACTTACAAATCCTACAAATTACATAGTGCATTTTGTCGAAGACTCCTTCGGCTACAAAATTTCTACGTAAAGTTTTTCACCATAGATAGAATTCATGGCGTAAAATTTTTGAAATTTTCTGTCATAGAATTGAAGATTTGTTTCGCTAATTACGCTGTAATTAATTAAATAGTTAAGTTTATATTAGGTGTGAAAACTAAAAGAACTAATATTTTTACATGGGAAAAGAACTTATTCAAAAAAAAAGAATATTCTTATAAAGAATCAAACTCAAATCGAACATGTTCATATCCCGTTTTCATTGATTTTTCTCAGATTTAATTGACAATAAAAACAGTGGAATTGATATCAGTAAAACATTCCGATTTTATCAGCACAAAAAGCATAAAGTATAATTGAATATAAAAACAAAAACAGAATAAGTGGAGGTCCGATAGAACATTTAATATGGGTTCAAAGCACAAATGGCAAAAAAACAAAGGAAATGTAAATTAAATTATTATATTAGTAAAGTGGATTTAGCTTTTTGCTTGTCTACTTCCTTTTCTTTTCTCAACAATCAGTATTTTCTTTGCTATCGATGGTAATTTGTAATATTTCAAATGAATAACTATACAAACAACATATTTGCATATGTAATCCATAAAAATATTTCAATATGAACTATTCTTCGTTTTCATATATCAAATAATTTTACTCATGTTTTTTACTTCGTTCGATAGATTTTTACTCTATTCCCATACATATATAATAGTTCATTTGCTACAATAAAGAGAAGTTGAATTATTAGAGGCGTTATTAACATCTGTTGTGTTAGATTAACGTGAGGATTATATTTCATATTGATATGAAGCTTTAGATTTTTCCCAAAGGAAAAACGAGGTCATTAAGCGATGAAATCGGCTTCCTTCTTGCAATTGAGTTTCTTATCTTTTCAATAGTTAATTTAGACGTCAGAAGTCTATTACCATTCGAATTAGATGATTAGACTTTATTCTAACTGCGGGTGGCTGACTCAAAATTTGATATTATCGATCTCCTACAACGCTATGCAATCCAGTGTTTACATAGAAAGTTTGCCTTGAGTTTATTTAATTTGACTAATGTACTAGATAAAACACTTTAGTCCAACGCATAATATTCATGAACGCCAAAAGTTATTTTTTTTGATTAATATTTAATCGAATTTGGTTAGAATAGTCAAGTTTTCCATTAGAACAATGATATATTTGGAGTCAGCATAAAAAACTGAGCCGATCTATATATGTCATAAAAATACTTCAACAATTTTTATTCTCGTCCAAACATTTAGCGCTGGATCTCCTTAGGTTATGCTGAAAAAATAAGTTAATCAAAACATTGTTTTTATTATTTATCACATCTATTGTTTTGAATTTTCCTAGATGTTTGCAGCAAACTTAAAAGTGACTTATGAGAGTCAATTGACGTTTCGATTAACTTTACTTTTCGACATAACCATGAGGGAGACTAGAGCTGAACTTTTGGACAAAAATAAAAGTTGTCGAAGGATCTAGTGACATATATAGATCAGCTCAGTTTTCTATGTTGACTTCAAATACATCATTTTTCTAATAGGAAATCTGACTATTCTGACTAAAATCGATTAAACATTAGATAGAAAGGGCAACCTTCGACATTCATAAACATTGTGCATTTCATTTAAAGTGTCTTACTCATAAATTAATCTTAACATTATAGTATCATTTTGTAGAGCTTTGAAAACCTTATCAAGTGACACATAACTCAAAGTGGTTCACTACTTTTAGAGCTCAGTATCGAGGGGGTTTTGTCATGGATGTCTTCATAATGTACATACAAGCGAACAATGTTATCTAAAAGGAAAAGAGCTTTCATTTAATATATTAGTCAAATTAAACGACCTGAAGAAGAGAGACAAACTCGTCATATAAACATTGGATTGCATAACGCTATAGAAGATCGATAATATCAAGTTTTGAGTCAGCTGCGCACAGCTGTAATGAAGTCTAACTATCTAATTCGAACAGTAATGGACTTCTGACATCTGAATTGACTATTAGGAAAATAAGAAACTAAATTTCCAGAGGAAGTCGATTTCATTGCTTAACGATTCTTCTCACATTTAAAAATTTTCTAAAGTTAAATTATTTCCATTTCTAACCTTACTCTTCAATAAAATTAACTATTCATAAATTTTATTTACTGATCATTTCATCTATTAACTAAAGTGACGATCAAAAAAAGAATTATTTACCATATGACAGGTTTCTTTTTATCAAGTTCTTTAATATAATTTCTAAATGCTTCATTAAATTCTTGTCGATATCCTAAACGTACTAATTTACGACCACTATTTGGTATATATGATACAATAAAATAAAATTTATCATATTCAGCTGTTATAACACGTCCTTCAGTATCATGTTCAACTATACCAATACCAAATTTAACATCAATTGGTTCGATCTTTGTTAAAAGACCTACACCAGAATAACCAGCTAAAAGAGAATAAAACACACACAAAAAAAAACAATAATTTCATTGATTAATTAATTCAAAATACCAGTATCGCCTGAAAGCCAATAAGATTTATAATCTGTTGGTGTTGCTTCACTCGGAATTTTATCTTTATCACATTTTAATTCCTGAATATAATTTTTTTATTCTTCGACAAAAGAAATAAAAAATATTTCTACTTGAAAACACATTATATCTGGTTGTTCTTGTTCAATATATTTTAAACCACCATTCGTTAACCATGCACGAATACCATTTATATTCCATGATGCAAATTTTACTGTTGCTTTATTACCTTTAGCTGATAAACGATCAGATGTTTTTAATGTCATTGTTCTAGGTAATTGAATTTCTGCATCATCATCAACTTCTTGAGTTGGTTCAATTGAATTTATTTCATTGATTGATGAAGTTTTTTTTACATTCTTAAAAAGAAAATGATTAATGAACAATAAACAGGTTGAAATAACTTTTATTTACTTTTTCCACTGATGAAGAAGCTTTTCGTTTAATACCTTTCGTAGATTTTGATTCATTAGTTTTATCAACAGTTGTTATCATTGGTGTATCTTCTTCTTCTTCATTATTTTTGGAATTTCTTTTAGGTATATCATTTTTAGTTACTTTTCTTTTTGTTACTTTTGGCATCTAGAAAAAACAAATAACAAAGAAGAAACAATAGATTCCAATGAAGACAGAAAAATTTTTACATATTATCAGAAAATTTAAGAATCAATGATAATGACTTATATACTATAGACTAATTTTTAACAAAAAAAAACAAAAAAAAAGACAACAAATTCCTTTTCTTTTTTCCTATATTCAATCCCATAATTTTGCTTCAAACATCCAAGGTTTTCTATGTCCAAATTTCATTCCAATTTTAGCTTCTGGATATTCATTAGCTTGAGATAATAATGGTGGATCTGGTACATCTAATTTTGGTGGATGTCGTTCTAATGAACCAATTCTAAATGGATCCGATGGTATAGGTCGTTTACTATCATGCATTCGAATCATTGAAAAATATCCTGGTTCAGGTCGTTCTAAATTCATCTTATTTTTTGAACATAATTCAAATGCTTTTTGTTCTTCTTTACAACTAAAATTCAAAATAAATTTTAATGAATAAAATATTAATGTAAATGAAACATACGAATTAAATGACATTTCACCTTCTCGAGCATTATCAAGACATGTCCAAAATGTTGTAAATGTATCATTACATGATTCACGTACTTTATGAAAAAAATTAATAGCACATAATGAAACATTTTTGCCTTCATTTAGACATTTACGTGGATCTTGTTCTTCCTAAAGAAAAAAAAAAAGAAAGGTAAAAATTATTTTCATGCGAAAATTTATTTTTATTATTCGAAACAGAGATGTGTATCATCCACACCGCCAAAAACTAATTAGGAGCGCGGTGACTGAAGCGATCGCTCCTTAATCATACCAGCTGTTAAGTTCTATTGCTAAGAATTTTTTTTTAAAACGAATGCGCATCAAATGCTGAAAAATTTAAGACGATAATCAACACCTTACAAGTATATATATGTCCAGTTACATGTTGCCTAATTAAATATTCTTTCATGATTTTGTCCAACCTTATATTGTTGTTCTTAGATAAGTGTTCAGAAATGAAGCACTATTTTTTAAGAAATCTTATAGACCAACGAATATGAGGAAAAAATCTTTTTCAATTATTGTTAGGTACACTCACGGCGATCTCCTCTTGCTTTTTAGGCGCAGTACACATGTCTAATTCGAAGAGATATAAAGAATTTATTACAGATGCAAAAAAAAACAAACAAACCAAAGGAATAATCATTCTGTAAATAAATCGAAATTTAATGATCGACTATTATAACATAGAGTACGCAATAGAAATAAAAATAAAACTAACTCATATATTCCATGAACAAGTCATTATCAGTTGTGATTTATACTGAATATCCTTATTTTCTCTAAATCATTTGTTTTGTTCATTTTAATTAAGACTAAGTATAAAACATAAACAAAAAGTTTCAATTTTTCTATTGTTTTAAAGTCCATTAGAGGTCGTATTGACTCATATTTGTGTGTTTTCTGCTGAGAAAAGTTGAAAATGTTTCGGAAGGGAGGGCCGGAATTCATCAGCACAACTCCTTTAAGTTTACCACTGCAAGATATGTTCTTTTTTTTTTAAATTTATTTCCCTAAATATTATCGATCACGGTCACTTGTGACCAATTTCCAGGTCTCTAATTCTCTGATATGTATTAATTAATCTCTAATGAAATCTTAATAGATCTCTCTAGAATATAATCTAATACACTAATCTCATCATGACAATTCAATTCATACAACTAAAACAGAAAACTACTCTCCAAAATTGTTTAAGCGATCAATCATGTTATACAAACCTGTCGACATAATATAAATTCCTTAAAAAAAAAGAAACAAAGTTTTCAGTTTGAATGATAAAAAATTTTTTTTTGTTTTAAGCTAACTTTAAATTGTAAATCACAATATTTCGCCAAATGAAAACTTCCTGCTCGTAATGCAGCTGATGAAACATTTACGACTGGACATTCAAGTTCATCATATGTTGGTAATTTCAAGTCATGTGTAAAACTCATAATACTCTACAAAAGGAAAAAAAACACATGAAATCTAATCTTTTTGAAAAATTCATTTATCGTTTATTTTTATTGATATATAAACAAGAAAAAAAAACAAAAAAAAAAACAGATTCATATACAGAACTAATAAACATACATTATTGAGATAATAAAAAAAGAAATTGAGATTCTCACACAATTACACACTGAATATTGCTTGATAATAATATATAGATAGATAAAAAAAGCAACCCGAGAAATAAATGACATTAGATGTCGAGATAAACTAATCTAGTTAAACATTTGTTTGTTCATAAGATTCTGGTGAAACTAATAAATGAATATGACGAGCTAAACGCACCGTATTTTTTTCTTCAATTATATCTTGAGGAGTACATAAATCAACCTAAAATTAAAAAAATTTTCAATAGAACCAGTCATCCATAATATATCACGTGTCACTGTTTAGTTGTAATCTCTTTGATATATCTAATTTCATTTATCCTACATGTTTTCTATTAACAAATAAATGAATTACTTTCGTGAGCCGAAAAATGTACTATTTCATAAAAATGAGAAATCCTCATTCAATAGTAAAGGCTTTATTTTATACTTTTTTCAAGATCATTGAAATATATCTTCTCGTATTTCTAAACTGTTACATAAGCTTCTAAGATGACATCGTCTAGCACAATCATATAGAAGTTTTTTCTCAACTTTTTCAAAGTTTGATAATCTCTCAAACAAAAGAAACTAGATTTTAACGTATTTATATTACGATTCGTGAAATATTGAGGAATGAGAAAAGTATAGAAGTCAATTTTCAGTTCGTCAGTAACTATCAAATTTTTTAGATGGTTTGAAAACTCCAATTTATCGAATCATGTGCATTTCTGTACTTGTAAACGAGTCAAATTATAAGCCCAACGGGTTATTATTTTGTGTAGCGAAGGGGGAAGTTAATATAAATCAACATAGAAATTTATCCTTTTACTTTTCAATGTGCAAAATAAAAAAAAAGAACATTAACCAAATTAATATATATATATATATATGAAATTATTTAGAAATAAAAGCAAAAGTATAAAGAATATTTCTTTATAATTATTACCATTTCATTTAATGAATAATTATAAATAAATGAAAATATTGATTCTATTTAATATTAACAAGAAAAATATCGAAAATCTAATTTATATAAAGTTATTTAAGATGAAATAGATTCATACTATTTGATTTTAGATTTTCTATTTAATAACTTACTTCTGGTACACCCAAACGACGACTTGCTTCAATAAAATTTTCAACATTTCGTCGACATTTAGCTAAAGATAATTTTGGCTAAAAACAAAGAAATATTTAAAATTATCTTTTATTTGAAAATTAATATTTAATATTCTTACAACTGCTTGTGAAGGTACATGAATACTTTGTACAGCACGTGGTCGTATTTGATTTATAAAATGACAAAGTACTACACCATCACTTAATGCATAAGTAATATCATCGGGTAATGCCACTTTAACACGTTCCTCTATTGTCTAAAAATTTAAAAAAAAAAATAAGAATTTATAAAGATTTCGAAAGAGAAGTTTCATATTTGCTCGTACAACCAAAAGATGACTTTGTTTTCCTAATATCTTAACAGAGATTCAACATATTGATGTGTGAATTTTGACCAAATGTAACGCAAATAAACTATGAAACATGAACTGCATTTTGTTAAAACTCGTACATCAATTCATTGAATCTTTGTTAAAATATTAGGAAAACAAAGTCATCTCTTGCTTACATAATCAATTTTAAACATCACTCTATATAACTGTAAATATTTTCAAGTTTTTTGTGAATTATACAAAATCTGGTTTTTGATATTGGCATAATCAGAAAACAGTTGTAGAGAGAGACAACTCAGCCTCTTCTACCTTCCTGTCTGGTTATGCCACTTGTTATTGATATGTCAATTTACCTTTTTCATTTGTTCTATTTGGATATAATCTTCTTTAGCTTGAAGTAAATGACGACGTATAGTAAATGCTGGATTAACTCCTGGATTATCTAATGGAGATTGTTGATATTGTCCATTTGTTATTGAAGTCACTAAAAAAAAGAAAAAACATATCGAATAATATTTATTTCGTATACTTTTTTTGTTTCTTATATTTACTTCTTGGTTGCATATGAAAACCAGGTACATTTCCAACGGTAGGCTAATTCAAAAAAAATAAAATTTAATAAATCATAAAACCAAATCTATTATTTACATTTATTTGACGATCATCAAAATAACGTAATTTAGTTAAACGATTATGTTGTGGTGATAATGATTTATCAGATATATCCTATACAAAACATTATATACAAATCATTTTATCAATATTTCTATACCGTTCGAGTATAATCATTGCTTGGACTTGACATTAAACTTTGTGATGATGTACTAGAAAGAAAAAAAAATCGATTAATTAATTTAAAGGAAAAATTCAATTGTTTTTTTTTTTCTTCTTACGTTGATTGATCCATAGTGTCTGAACTTAAAGTAAATTGTCGATTTGTTATTATTGTACTATCATATTGTATAGTTGAACCATTTGGTAAAGTTTTTTGTTTATAAAAATGTTTAATATCATTTCCACCGGATATTAAATTAGGTTCAACACTAACAGCACGATTTGATCGTTTTAAATATTCATCTATAGTTGCATTTTCAATTGATATTGAACGTTGATATGAATTATCACCAATATTTTTATCATTTATTGAATTAATTAATATTGGTTCATTAAGAATTTGATTTGGTATTGCTGATTCATTAGTTGATAATTGACGAGTTAATATTGTTTTATTTGATGTTAACCATGGACGTGATTTTTGATAATCATCTTTTGATGAAAAATTAAATAATTGCATATTTTTACTAGAAAATAAAAAAGAAATAATGAATAATTTATTGATATTATTGAATTATTTCGATTTAAATTTTTTACCTGTTCTCCATTTTACGTCGAGCATCTTCACGTTGTTTTTCCATTTTAGCTAATTTTTCATCATGTAATCGTCGAGCTACTTCACGAGCTTTTGTTCTCTATATATTTTGAATATATCACATAATACATAAAAAAAAAAAAGAAAAAAATGTATTTAAATATTAATCTTACTTGACTCTCTGTTTCTCCTAATTGCTGTAATAAATGTCGTTTTAATTGTTGTGCTTGATATTTTTTTCTTTCATATTCAGCTTTTTGTCTGGCTAATTCCTATAAGATTACAAAATTCATTGATTAGTTAAAAAAATTAAATATTGATGACAATACTTTAGAAAATTCATCAGCTAAAGTAAGCATAAGGGTAGGTTCACTTCGAAGGGTATGTTCATTAGACATGCTTAATATAGAATCATCCTACACAAAAAAAAGCGATCAAGACAACAACAAATACAAATAACAAATAAAATAGTGTTGTGCTTACATCACCAATTGTTTTTTCACTTCCTTCAGTTGTTAAATAACCTGAATCAGATGGTACTACTGTTTTTCCCATTCTTATACCACATTGTAAATTTCTATAAATAAAAAAAAATGAATATCATAGTTGACTAGAGATAACACTAAAATCGATAAGTTATCTTTAGCTTCTCTAGTTATTATCATAATTGAACTAATCACATATCACAATTCTAATTTCATCGTACTCACGAGAGAGTTTTTCCAGAAAATAAAAATTTTTTTGAGTTCAAATTTTGTTTACAAATATGAAATGCATCGACTTTTTACTATAAATTTTCTGAAGCATCCCTACTTTTCAGATAAAATCAAAATCTTGAATTTTAACTTGAAACGTTCTTCACACATCAATGTTTTGAACAGACTACTCTTCGGAGGTTTTTTTTCTAGTCTATAAACCCTGTACTTGTGAACAAAATTTCAGCTCAAAAACTTTTTATCACCTAGGGAGACTTTCTAATTAAATATTGTTGAATTCCAGAAAAAAAAACTTCAATTAGTCTGATATATCATTCGATCAAAAAAAGAAACACAATATTGTTTGTTTTTATTTTTCAATTTTACTTTGATGTTTGATATGGAAATGAATTTTTATATTTTTCATTAATTTCATGTTCTGTTAATATTCCACGTCGTTTTTCTTCTTTCATTGCTTCAATAAGAAGAAAACGCATTATATGAAGTAAACCAAGTGTACAAATCTAAAATATTATTATTCGAAAAGTTTATTTTTATTTAAAAAAAACAATATATATATCTTACTGAAGCCGGTGGCATTTCTAATGGATTATGTTCAACGTTAAGTTCAATTAAACTATTCATTTCACGTAAATTTAATGGTAAACGAGCAATTCGATTATATGAACAATCAAAATGAATTAATTTTAATACACATAATTCTATATATAGAAGTCAAACAAAATCAATAACAATCAATAGAAAGAAAAAAAAAAAAGAAAGATTTCAATAATGCCCAAAAGCTTTAATTCCTTATATTTTATTCATGCAAAACAATTTAGTTTATTTTTTCTGTTTAACCAGAACAAGGAAAAAAAAAGAAAGCATTAGGTTTTTGAAAAACAATACCTGAGTTTTGTCAATTAAACTTAACTGAATAAAAGACTATGGATTTTTATTAAAAATTATTCTTTTATTATTTACCTGTTGGTAATTCAATAATCATATTTCGACGAATATTTAATGTACGAAGTGTTGATAATGCTCCTATTTGATAAGGTAATTGTGTAATATCATTTGAACTGACATCCTATTGTTATTTTTTTTTGTAATAGAATAAATTAAAGAAAAAACAGAATAGATTTTGAATAAAAAAACATACTAATTCAATTAATCGTTCTAATTGACCAATTTCTTCAGGTAATGAAACAAGTTTATTATTATTAATAATTAAAACTTCTAAATTAGGTAATTTACATAATGCTGGTGGAATATAAGCAAGTTGATTTCGACTATAAAATATATATATATATATATAAAAATAATTAAATTTTTTTTTCTTCAAAAAATTTAACCTTAAATCAAGAGTGTGTAACATATGAATTTGAACAATTTGTTCAGGTATTGATTTAATTACATTATGATAAAGATTTAAACGTTCAAGAGAAAAAAATGAACATAATATACGTGGAAATTCAATAAAACGATTACGAGAAAGATCTATGACAAATAAGAAAACTTTTATTTATTTATTTATTTATATAAAATTAAATTTACAAACCAGCAAAGACTGTATCAGAAAGATCACATTTATAATTAGGAAATTCTCGAAGTGTACGACCATTTAAATTAAGTTCACCTGTATGATTTGCTTCATCAAGTGCACGTTCAATACTACGATTTAAATGATAAATTGATATATTTTTATTTTTATTAACAGTAACATTTGATGTTGAATCAAGAATCAAAGTAGATGATGATGTGGCCATACATACACATGCGAGATTTTTATTTTAATTATATATATATATATTAATTAAACATTTTTTATATAAAAATTATGTTCATGGAATATAGAGAAGCACTTTATTTATTATAGTTATTTACTTCCTTGCACCATATCAATGTAAGAACACATAAAAAAAAACCAATGAAAATTTATTGAGAAGAGGTCGCTTGTTTGAACAATGATTTGTTAAAAAGTAAATCGAAAAAAGTTAACTTTTAAAAGTTATTTCAAATTATTGAGATCTACACTAATACTTTTTATGAAATTATTAACCACTTGATTGTTATTCAAAGTTTTAGTTCATTGTAAATATTTTTTGTTGTCTACAATTTATTTATTTTATAGACAATAAAGAAATACGATAGAATTTATGAAAAAAAAAAAATTGTACATTGAGTAGAACTTATCGGGTTGGTCTCAGATCCACATCTGATGAGGTCTAGGATTGGAAGTTTTCTATAAACTAGAACTGGATCTGACAAGTATCTATTAGCTGGATCCGACGGGTTTCAATACTAAGTCAGATGATAAAATTTTATGTATAATTGAAATTTCAATATCAATTTATAAACTTAACACATATGTCTAGATTATTCATTACATTGTTAACGAAAATTTTCCAACAATCCTAAATTTTCCTATATGTCATCAATAATAAAACAGAATTCTATAATTGAATAATTTTCAATGTGTACCTATTTGCTAAACTTTTCGACATAAATCGAACAAGAATCATAGTTGTAGTCGTTTGAATTCTTTTTTGTACATTTTGTAAACATATCTAGGTCTTGGATTATTGATGAGTTTTTTTTCTTATCAAGACAAACACGACATTCAACGTGACCGTTTTTCATAGCACAAAATATTTTTGACATAATCAAGAGAAATTAACAATGACATTAACTGATATATATCTCAAGGACATCCACGTACAGCCATAATATCAAAACACACGAAGAGAATATTTTTGGATACATTGACATTTGAGCTTAGCATTAAGAATATTCTGTAAATCTAATTTATTCATATAAATAATAAATGAGATCAAAAGTGGAAGAAAGTTTTTGATCATTTGCAAGAATTGCCTTCGTGTTTGCTGATCAAACGTAGCGATCAAGTGTTCTAATCATTCATTCATGTGTTCATAAAAACAGAACCTATTTTAATCCTTCATTATTCTCAAAGTGCAATCTCTCAGCCATAATCAAATTTGCGTGTTGTTCTATATGCAAACTTCGAATATAGTCTCAAAAAAAAAAATCCGTTTAGCGAAGTACGAATTCTTCAAATTTGATTATGGTTGAGAGATTACAATCTAAAATAATGAAGAAGAAAATATGAAAACATGAATGAGTACCTACAAACACTTGATCGTTGTTTTTCATAGACAAACAATAATGAGATTTTGTTCAACTTTTGATCTTAATAATCATTTGTATGAGTAAATTAAATTTATATAATATTTTTTATGCTAGGCTCAAGTGTAATTCTACTGGTATAGTATTTAGAACGATAAATATAGCATGTTTTTATATTATTGTGGGTGTTATTTTCTTTCCTGTTTTATTCTATATGTAAGAGTTATGGTCTTTTTCACTAATTCATAGCTTTTCAAAACGGAAATTTTGAAAAATAATAGATGCGAATATAATCTCTTCCGATTTTATAAGATACACACTGAAATCTATTGCGTCTGTTTCTTTTTTGGTAAATATTCAGATGTGTTAATAATAATTGTTATGAATTAAATTAACTTTTTGAATAGAATTTTTGTTAGTCAATTCATTAAATAATCATAGATTTTATTTTAATAAGTTAATAAATTTATTAAATACTCTCGAACAAGTTTCAAATAGTATGATGATTTGAATAGTTAAATATACAAAGAAAAAATAATTAATGAAATATTGACTGCTTAAAACGATCATGATCTATAAATACTTTAATATTCTTTAATAGTTAAACGTATAAAACAAAGAAAACTATTTTTCATCATATCCTATTTAATAATAGACTTTTAAATAGTTATATATTTATATAATTATTGAAGATTAAAGAGTAGATATCAGATAAAACTCTCTCTAAAGTATGCCTATATTATATTGTTAAACTTACTTTAAACAACAATCACAGTCCTTTGATTGATGAGACCTAATGTTTCTGTAGACATGGAATATATACAAATGAAATAGCGCATGTTTATTATTGTTTATTTTGTTTTGTTTTTCTTAATCTATTATGTTCGTTTTCGTTTGATTAATAATGTCTTTTATCGATCAATTAAATCTATTATTTTTATTCATTAATATTATTACACGATGTTTAGCTAGTACATCCCCGCGTGGCACTAGAAAAGAAGTTAATCAAGTTTTTACTACTGGTATACATTTATTGAATCTCGATAGCGATGATGAGAATGAGAATGATAAAAATCAACATGGATCAGCACGTCCACATCCATCAACACAAGTTCATGGAACTTTTAATGACGATAAAGATGAAGGACATGATACTAGTAGTACGGATACTAGTAGTAGATTATCAGTAAAATCATCTGTTTATCGACGACCAAATCAATTTACACTTAGTGAATCTGATAGTAATGATGAATCAAATTTTCGACATGAACAAATGTCTGAAAAATCAGGGGTATTTGAATAAATAGATTTATTTTGTTTTTTAAAGAAATTAATGATTATATATGTTAGTGTCTAAGCTAGGATCTGAGATTGGACGAAAATTAATTTAGGCCACTTTCGGATTGATCAGTTACAATACCTTCAATATAAGATTCGCATGAAAATTTTAGTCGAATCTTAGATTGACCTAGGCTAATGTCGGCTTTTAAAGGTCAATCTCGAATTAAAGATTAACGATGAGAAGTCCCCAATTGGTTCATGTAATTTTCGCTGATATTTTGCGTGGATATCGAGAACCTTATTGTAAAAAAAACCTAATAGCATCTTTTATTAGGCTGTAGACCTACAAGCAAAAGTTTTCAACAAAATTGAATTGAAGATCTTTCTATTAATCGTTCAAAAATATATACTCGACATAGTTGGAAAAATTTTCAGAATGAATCAAAATTTCTAGCTTCGATAATTTAATAATTATCTATCTACAAGAAAAAAAAGATGAAAATGTTTATTTACATCTAACATAAGTTTAGAGTACAGGAGATCGGCAATCACGAAAAAAATTTTTTGTTCCTGAAACTCCAGGTTATGGATCTGTTTCTTTCGATGATTTTTTATCACCACCATCACGCATTGGTCCATTGGGTTCTGGTCCAGTTGCTTCGTTAAACGAACTTTATCATTCTCCAATTGGTGCTTTTAATCGTGACAAAAATTTAGTAAATTATTTGAAAAAAAAAACAAAACTTTGCATTTATTTTTTACAGTGATCGCAAGAAGATCGTCGTTATCTAAAAGCTGCAAAATCTCCATTAACTCCTGGAAGTAATTCAGTCGGTGTCATATCAGTAAAAGGTCGAGAAATACCAAGAGAATTTCTGCAAGTTGTTGACTTTGGTAGAAAAAATAATAATAACGCGTTAAGTAATATGATATGAAAAAAAAACATTTATATCTGGTAATTCTGCAACTGTTTATGGTATTGAATTAAATGGTGAAAATTTAATACTTAAAATAACTAAACATAATTATATAGGTGATTCATGTAATAATGAAATTCCACAATGTGTTCATGAAAATGATATTGAATCATTATATAAATCCGATGATCCTTGTAATCATAAACCAGAAAATGGTCTTATTCGAAAATCTTCTTGTTCAGCTGATCCTGACTTAGGTTAATTTGAAAAAATAAACAATATAGTAAATTGATAGTTCATTTTCCATCAAAAATTTTTTATTTAGTACCATTTGAATATTATATTGCAGAAAAAGTTGCTCTTACACGTGGTTTAATATGTGATAAATCTTAATTATTATTTATAAAAAAATATTCATAATTAATTTTTTTCGATGCCAGCTGCAGCAAGTATATCAAATACATTTGCAAAAGATAAAAATGAATGGTATTTAATATTTGAAGAATTACCTGATATATCACCATTAAAATATGGTGAAAATATATTAGAACGTCTTGCTAAACCATTAAGTCATATCATAGAGAATTGTTTTATTTTATTTTATTTTTTTGCTTTAGTTCGACAACAATTAGAAGCATTAAAATAAGCTGCTCATTGTCATATAATGCATCTGTTTGTATTTAAATTTCTTTTGAAATAAAAATTAAAAAATTTTTCTTTTTCTTTTTAGTGATGCTCATTGGGGAAATATATTATATTCTCGTGAAAGTGGTATACAATTAATTGATTTTGGTATTGCAACACTTATTGATCGATTTGAATTACCGAATTCGAACGCAACATTAATTATAACATTTACTTTTGATCGATCTTTAGATTGTGAAGCATCAAAATTACGACGAAATTTTCAACAATTAATTAAAAATAATTATCCAATCAATGGTCATACTCTTCTTTCACATCCATGGTTACAATATTAAGAAGAAAAAAAAAAAACATGAATTATTTATATTCTTTCTCAAAACAAGTTTTCAATCGAATTTTTTTTTCTTTCTTTTTATAAAGTGCAACAAAATAATTGTGTTTACTTTATTGTTTTTATTTTCTCCTGATACTTCTTCTTTCTTATTCACATATTCGAAGGCAATTCGGTATTGAAGAATAAGACGAAAATTTTGTAGAAAAAAATAAATTTATTATGAATTCTGAAATGGATCTTCCTTCAATGTCCATAGATTTAAATTCATTTTCAACAGTTGAAAATCCACCAACCTTCAATTCTACTCGATTACAAACAATTGATTTTAGTAAATATTTACGTAAAATAGCTGGTATTGATGTACCATATATACCTTGTACAGTTATTTGTATTGGATTTGATCTCCTTTTTACATTAATTACATTAGTTATGGGAAGTTCGAATTTTTCGTCATGTCCAATTGAACCTCGAATACCAATTTATTTGGTCGTAGTGTCTACAATTAATCTTGTAATGATTTTTTTAACTATTACTGCTTGTTTTCTTCATGTCAAAAAAAAAGATGATAATTTATTTGGGTTTTTTTTTATTACTTCAGCTGCTATAAGTATTTTAATTTTACAATTATTTTGTTTTATTTGGCTGATTTTGGGGACTGTTTGGACATATAGTATTCTCAATGAAGTACAATATACACCAACAAATAAGGGAACTTATTGTCAAGCAAGTATTTATAGATATACATTAGTTTCGATTATTTTACAATATATTATTCCAATTATTTTATGTTGTAGTAAAAATATACGACCAATGAAATAAAAAAATATATTAAATAAATAAAGCAAGAAGGTTTTTTTCTATTACTTAATAAAATATTCGATATTATTGATAATGTCAATTTTAATATTAACGTTTTACACAATACTAAAGATACTTTACGGTATTCAAATGAAGTTTTGTTCTTAGTTTGACAAAAAAAAAAACAACAGTTTTGTTGGTGACATAGTTAATAATATCAATGCCATGACAACAATAGATTTGTTAATGCATAAAAAAGACAATTAAACATTCGTTTTTTTCCCTAGCTTTTTTATTATTTGTTAATTATGAAGGAAAAAAACCTTCACTTAGACAGCTCTTATAGGTGTGATTAAAAATACTTTGTTATGCTTCCTACCAAATAATATGACGAAGCATTATGTGTATCATCGATCATAATCAATCTTTTGCAACGGAGAGGAGTGATAAGACATGGGAAAGACACCCTAGAAGGGCAAATTAATGACAAGAACACGTATAAACATTTCATGTTGTTGTTAGAAGTTATATGTGTTACTTTGCAAAATAAGGGCCATGTGGTTTTCTCTTTGCATTTTTTTTCCTTAGTTTCATTTTGCATTTAAGAAATTTATGACAAATAATAATCGAAATTCTAGACAACATGACAAATTGGAACAATCAATTACTCAATTGGTCATTGTATTCATGACATGTTCTTGAAGTAGTCCACTTAATTACGTTACTAGTATCATTAAAATGACGAAAGAGAAATTGATGAGAATAGCATGCGTGCTCATGTTAAAGTTAGTAGTGAAATCAAGTCTTTATTGTCAATAATCGTTAGTTGTCGATGTTGCCTCATCATCATTATTATTATTATCATTATTCAGTAGTTCTATTCACTTTCTTTCTCTTGTGGCACCATCTGATATATTTCTTTAGTTCTCGTCTTCATTCTCTTTTCTGCATGAAAATAAAAAGTCAATTTTTGCCCGTTTGTTGAAAACGAGCAAGAATGGATTTTTTTTCCTTTGCATTCTTTTTTTTTTATTGATGTGATTTAGAAGCTAAAATATATACGACTATCTTTATATCCAGGATGGTGTGTGTCACAGAGCACATAAGGCTATTCTTTGTACATGACATAAGGGCAATTGCAAACGACGAGACAAGAAAGAAAACGAGCGAGCGAACGAGCAAACGAACGAGAACGTTCCAAGAATGGGAAACGTTGCTCATTTTTTTTTCTCTCCTTTCTTTCTCTTTTTTTCAGTGCAGCTTAATGAACACGACTGTCGTTTCTCACCATAGTGAACATACAAGTGGCCCTCGGCAGCAGATAACTTCCTGCTTGTTAGTTCATGTGCGTGTGAATGAGTGACCGCTTGAAAGGACGAGAGGAAGAACAAGTAGGAGGCGGAGAGTAAAAGAAATGGAGAAAAAAGGATTGGTACCAGGCATTCTTTGCTATCGGTATTGTGGCATTTTGGATAGATAGTTGTTGATGTGTTGTTCTTTTTTCTGTTGTACATACGTGCCATGCTAATGTCTTGCGTGTCTCTAATAACTAGCCCAATAGATAGATGATTGTCTTTAGAAAATCATCGCAAGCTTGTCGTTGTTACGTCTCTCTCTCTCTCTTTCTTTTCTTGTGCTGATCTTTTCAATGAATCGTCGCATTGTAAACGAGATAAAGAAAGCAAGAAAGAGCAAGAGATAGAGAGAGTGCGAAGCGAACAGAGCATTTTTCTGTTGCGTGCTTTCTGTCGTACGATTTCGATAGTTACTGATGAATCTTCTCTTTATTCTTTTCTTTTGTATAATAATAAAAATCTCCTGAGACTAACATACAGTATGCATCAAAGAACATGTGAACTAAAAACTAATATTATTATCAAATGCAGGTAAGTAATCACTTAGAAATATTTTTGACTACTTGATTGAAAGATATATAATAACCAAGACAAAAGAAAAAAGATAATAAGAAAAACAAATGTTCAATTCTATATACTATCAATATTGCATATGTTCACATACATATTTAATGATAGTTTTCATCAATCGTTGAACTATCGGCTTAGTCTTCAATATACGAAGATCGATAGACACGATTGCGTGAGTGTCTCTCAATAGTAATTGAAAGAGAACACAGCGACAGAATGCTCAGAAAAGAGTAGTTACTCTATTGCATGTTCCGTCAGCTTATGATGACGAACACCATGAGCTAACAACTTGCTCGAATAAGGTTTGTGCGTCAATAGCAATCGATACATGTATTCCCTAGTGTCTAATGATAAGAAAACACAATCGTCTCTTTTTTTCCATCATCATCACCATCATCATCATTATCATCGAACGCAAATACTAGATGTCTATAAATGTATATATATCTATATATGTCGTGTCTTCCAGAATAATGAAATTAGTGAGACAGGCATACTATTTCGTTGTTGTCGCATGTCTATCACCATATAGATTTATATATCTGTGTATATTTATATACACATTGATATAAATACACAATTATTTATTTCTTTCGCTTTAGTATCAAAACTAAATAAAGTCTGATACTATTTATTTTTTTGTTTTCATTTTATTTAGTAAATGATTATTTGAAGATAAGTTTAATCAAAGATTTATTAAATAAATAGATATGCATACATGCATGCATATATTTCATTTTATCAAAATAGATCTCTATATGTATGTGGGTATGTGTTCCAATCATGATTATAGAAGAAAGATCTTTATGTTTGCGCTTTTTATTTTTATGTAACCATCAAATATAGGGAGTATTGCTTGTGGATTGATGAATAGATGGGATAGATGGATGTTCCTTATTTTCTTCGCTTCGTTCGTTCTCGATGACTTCGTCGAGCCTTACTCTCTTAAGTAATGATGATGGTTGTAACAGGAATAGAAGTATAGTATAGAGAAATAAGAGGCTCGTTTCTATAATCATTTTTTGATAATGCAATGTGATAATAGACGTAAGAGAGCGAAAGAGAAGAAAAGAAAAATGGAAAGATGAATATAATATCATTATTCAAGTTCAAATCACACATCTATTAATAAAAATAGAAAAGATTTTTTTTTTTTCGTGTGTAAATGTCATTTGATCAAAATAATTAAATAATATTGTATCAAGAAAAAAAGAAACGAGAGGTAAGTTGATGATATATCAATAACTTAATGTTGATTGAGTCGAGATAAAAGATAAAAATTAATTCTCTTGAGAGAATCTAATACCCTTCCCTTCTGATTGTTGTTGTTGTTGTTGTTTTTTCTTCTTTCAAGATCTAAACAGTAAGACTATGCCTGATGAACATCATCAACGGCAACCAAAAGAACAACAATATAGATGGAATTAGTCAGACAACTCGCTGGTCTTTCTGTTTCACATATAAGACAATTTCGTGATGATGATTCTTATGTTGATCGACTCAGTCATCGATATACAACAACTATATGTGTGGTTTTTGCTATTCTTGTCACGACAAAACAGTATGCTGGTAGGAAATATAAACAACAGTTCGTTATTGTTATTATTATGATTAATTTATTTTTAGGTGATCCTATTGATTGTTGGGTAATTGTTATTTTCTTTTTAAAATTAAATTATTTATTATTAATAATTGGTTAGGTACCAGCTCAATTTAAACCATCTTATGAAGCATACACAGATAGTTATTGTTGGATTGCTAATACTTATTGTAAGAAATTCTATATTGATGTTTGTTTTTCTTTAATAAAGAAAATTGAATTTCTATTAGATATTCCTATTGATCAAGAACTACCTGATGATGAAACTAGTCGACGAAATAAAGATATTGTAAATAATAGATAAGATTTATTTCTTTTTTTAAGATAATTAATTATTAAAATTTCTTTTTTTCTTTAGCTTTATTACCAATGGGTACCATTCATATTATTATTTCAAGCATTTTTGTTCTATTTTCCACGTATTGTTTGGCGTACACTTAATGTTAAATCAGGTCTTGATTTAGTAAATCTTATTGATGCAGCAATAGTAAGTTTTTTGTTTTTTTTTTTATAATTATTAAATAATTATTATTCGTTGAAAATTTTCTTTTAGAAATATGAACAAGTTGAACAGTATGAATCACGAGATCGTATAATGAGTTATTTAATTGTTAATATTGAACGTTATATATCCGCACGAGCACAATTGACACGACATCATATTGAAAAACGTTTTTCAACTTTTCGTCGATTCTGTCAATTATTTATCTTTTGTTCAAATCGTCATTATGGAAATTACCTTGTTATTGTCTATTTTCTTGTCAAATTAATGTGGCTTGTTAATGCATTAGCACAATTATTTTTATTAAATGCTTTTTTAGGCAATGATTATTATTTATTTGGTTTTGAAGTTATTGAAAAATTATTTAAAAATCAACGTTGGACTGAAAATAGACATTTTCCTAAAGTGACTTATTGGTAAGTTTTAATTTATAACAAATTAAATAAATTTATTCGTATTGATGTTTTTTTGTTTATTTCTTTTTAGTGATTTTAAAATTCGAGAAATTGGTATTAATCATTTTTATACAGTGCAATGTGTATTAAGAATAAATTTATTCAATGAAGTCATTTTTATTATTCAATGGTTTTGGCTTATAGCAATTAGTGCCGGTAGAATGTTTTTAAAAGAATTTTTTTTTTTTTCTAAGTTCTATTTATTTTATTTAGCAACGATTTATGATTTTCTTGTTTGGTTATATCATTGCACTGTTCCACGTAAGTTTAAATTTATTAGAAGATTCAAATCTCTAGGGAGTTGTTAATGGAAAAATGACAAATGTAAATTGCGTAATTCTCTTGGGAAAAAAATGAACGTTTTCTATAAAGATAACATTCTTCTTTTGCTAAATAAATATTTATATAAATCTTGTTTATAAAAATAACAATAAGAACATTCTTTAATATTTATTTATTTATTTATTTATTTATTTTTCTTTGTTTTTTGTTTAAGGTGAAAAAATTCATTTTGTTAAACGTCATCTTGGTATAATGTCATCTTTTCATCCTCAAGAAGAACGTCAATTAGCACGTGATTTTGTTTTACATTATTTAAAAGATGATGGAGTTTTTGTTACACGTTTACTTTCAGTAAATAGTAGTGATCTTGTTGTAACAGAAATTATTAATCAATTATGGATACGTTTTAAAACAATTAATCGTCTTTATTCATCATCTCATAGTCAACAGCAAACTTTACATGACAATAATATAAATACGAGTACACTAGGAACAAATTTAAATTATCAAAATGGTAATACATCAATACATAATACTCAACGACAACGAACATCGCGCATTCCACCACCATTACCATCATTTTTACATCGAACAATGCATCAACAATTAATTAATGACAAACCAGAAAATATTCATGAGACGTCAAAATCATCCAAAGATACTGATGTTTAAAAAAAAGAAAAGGAAAAATTGTTTTGTCTGTGATACTCGTATTATATATATATATATATATATATGTATATATAGATATATGTGTTTCATTAATCTAAATTGGAAACTCAGGAAGCTCTTACATGATGATATACATATGCAACTTCCTTTGGTGCCAGTCATAATTTGTCTGTTTCTAATGTTTTTTTTTTTTTTTTTCGCATGTTTAATCTAGATGATATGTGCTTTCCGTTTTCCCGAACAAGTCAATAAAAAGAAAATGTCTGTTTGATTTCTTTGTGGTTTTATGCATTCATAACTAAACACATATATATTAAGAGTGTCTTTGTGTATTTTTTTAATATTTGAATAATTTTTAGTGTTTTCCGTTATAGAAAAAAAGTTCCGGAAGATTTGTTTTTTTTTTGTGTTGGAAAATATTACTATTTAATGCTAATTGGCGGGTGTACAAATAGAAAAATAATTATTATATTATAGTAAGAAAAATAGAATCTGATAAATATAACAGGAAACACACTGACTGAGCAACGGTTATACATCTTAGAAAAAAAAAACATTAGAATAATGTCAAGGGTAATTATTAAATGTCAGAATAATGACTATTATACAATCGTAGATAATTTTCAAAGGAAATATATTAGTCCATTGTTTGTTGTATCTATCTTATTAACATTAACAAATCTATATTGTATAACAAAAAGAAAGAAAAACATTTGCAAATTTATTTATCATTAAAAATGAATAAATATAACATGAAATGCTTATGAAATGAAATGATTTTGATTAATGCACTTAGTCAAAATTTCAAATTAAAATTTTTGACATTGAAACATAAAAGCATTGTAGTAAAAATTTTATTTAGTTAAAATATTTTGGATATAAATTGATCGTGTTTAAAAGAAAAATATGATCAATCAGAATGACATAGATAGTCAGTGAATAATTATGATTATGAACTGAATTCCTTATCAGTGTTTTAACCAGTGTGGAGATTGAGAGGGTAGAGCCTCTCCAAAAATTGGGTTAATCCTTCCGAAGTTTGTAGTTATTCTATCGTATACTATGTGTCTGTTCTTCCAAAAATAGGTGTTCACTTTTCCAAAGTTTTACATCGCTCCTTTGGAAAAGAAAATCTGGATAAAATACGTTTCTATACTAGCATAAAATTGTTTTTTTTATTTGCAATCATCCTTTGTTATGATATGACTTAGACATACCAGTGTACTTGTAACATATTCACTGTGGACATCTTCGTTTTTATTGACTTTAATTTATATCTGGGAAAGATAACATTATATAGAACAATAAAATATCTAAGGTTATAAGTCACTGCAAACTTTTTTCTTGTTAATCATGTGATTGTTTTATTCGTTCGAGATATCATTTTAAAACATCGCAAAAAAAAGAACATGTACTTATGAAATCGAAGAGGTCCGTTTGAATTGTTCTTTCATGTCATCTGACATACTTGTCGGGTCTAGAGTATCATACAAGGACTCATATTCTCAGTGCAAGATTAGAAAGTGGCTTTTATCATAACATAGGCAATATCTTTTTCAACCCTTTTTGTTACTCGTGACATGTGATAAAACAATGAAAATTTAACACATAAAAACAGATGTAAATTATATGTAAATGATCATATTTAAATTTATACGAAAATAAACAATGTCGATTTTATCTCGCTTCGGATATACATCATGGATTAGAATAAATACATTAAATTTATTATCAATACGTACTCAGACCACAGTTTCATCAAGTAAAAAACAAGAGAAATGAAATAATTCTCATTTCTTTTTGCAACTGAAATTCTATTTTTTTTTTAGTTATAAATCAAAATGGAATAATAAAACACAAAAAACTCCCTATATCATGTCGTACTGATATGAAAGATGCACGTCGTATTATTGTTAAACTTGGTACAGCATTAATAACACGTGAAAATGAAGATGGTCTAGCAATAGGACGTTTAGCATCAACTGTTGAACAAGTATCACAACTACAAAATGAAGGTTGTCAAATGTTATTAGTTACTAGTGGTGCTGTTGCATTTGGTCGACAGGTTCTTCGAAAAGAAGCTATGATGACAATGACAATGAGGAAATCACTTTCACCAAAAGATATATTAGAAAATAGTCGTCTAGCTATTCAAAGACAAGCATGTGCTGCTTTTGGACAAAAAGGTCTTATGTCATTTTATGAACGAATGTTTCAACAATATAATATTGGTGTTGCACAAGTACTTGTTACAAAAAGTGATTTTTATAATGCTGATAGTAGAAAAAATTTACAAGCTACACTTG